ATTTAAAGCACCACATTAAAACATTATGCACAGCCTTTGTGTTTTGGCCTTGGGAGTTAATAGAAGAAACCTCCAGTGTGTCTTTACCTGGAGTTACTGGTTTTTCTCAGACCAGCTAACATCAATAAAATCTGTTTTCGCTTCATCTACAGGTGTCGTGCTAACGTGAAACATACTTCTGTCATCTTTACATAACGTTTGCCTCTGCCTCCCCCACCAGGTGAGCTCCTACCCGGTTCCCATCTTGCTGATGAAGACGAGCCGGACCTCCTGCTGGTCTCGGGGTTCAGATTTCTCTCTCCACTCTGCCCACCAGGGGGGGCTGTTTCCATTAACCTCTGGTGATCGGCTGTTCGTGACCGTGACCAACGCCTCCGCTGTAGACATGGACGAGAAGAGCAGCTTCTTCGGAGCTTTCCTCGTCAGCTAGAGTCTTGGATACTGATGTTTGTTGGCTGCAGAATACATTTAACCGCTGCACCACCTACATGTTCCTGGGACCAAAGACCGTTGGCAACACTGGTTTCAGGTACTGGTCATCTGTGGGAGCTAATCAAACCCATCAGACGTTTGGATTCAGGTGTGGATAAAGTGACAATGGATGCTGGTTTGAAATGTTTCTAAAGCAATCTGGACAGAGTGGTTCCCAGTAAACTTTCCCCCTCGATGCCGGAAACCTTCTGGAGCTCTCTGATTTAAATATTATATTTTCTGTTTGTACGCCTTTGAGGCAACCAAGCATTAATATTTCAAGACAAACGATACAAACACAATAACAGCATCACATTATTCCGAAAAGACAAACGAATGCATAAAGAGACGACAGCTGACCACACGAGGATACATTTTAATCATTGACGCTCACGTCCTAATTTCTGCCACCTAGAGGAAAACACGAGCAACTGCAGCCTACAAATTAAACTGTAAATTACACCTTTTAATATTTTAAAAACCTTGTGCGAACAGTGGAGGCGTCCCTAAAGTCATAACGTTCTTGACTCAAGCAGGAAACTAAAGCTCAGACTGTTGGTGCCAAATTTGCAATTTGCAAATGTCTCAGAAAATTTGTGAGGATTCTCTTTTTTTCTCGCACAAGTCCCATGAGTTTTGAAAATGTTCGTAAACTTTGCAAAACAAATTTTCTCTCCAAATGGTCAGAGGTGTTGATGTGGAACCAGTCTCAGATTCCTCTCACTTCAGTTCCCACGGAACAGAGTGCGAGAAACGTTGGAGCCGTCTTCCAACCAATTTGTGACTCATTGAAGACAAAGAACAGAATATATTGCAATTGAACTGAGACACGGTTGAGACATAATTGGGACATTTTAGGACTAGATGGTGAAAAATGAATTGCCACATCTTTCACAAGAATACTGCTATATATATTACATGCTATAATACTGCTAAGAATACTTAACAGGTCTCTCTGTAAATGAGTCGTTGTGACTCAATGGGACTAACTGTAATGAAACTGCATGAACGTCACACAAACGTTGCATTTATTCAGTTACGTTCACAAAACACCTCAAGCCAGGACTTGGATGCCTTCTGGCCGTCTCTGTGATTCCTGAAAGGACCGAGGCAGCGGGGGGGTTCGAAGCCGACCCACCCTCGATGCACTTTTGCTCTGCAAAGCGAGGTAGTACCAGAGCTGAAACGGTGGCATGTGAAAAGGTAAAGCGGCTCAATAATGTGATGAATGGTCTGGTCAATAGTCGTGGGATTAAACGGATTTATCACCGAGGGAAGATTGATGATGACGCACAGCAACTTTTGTATTGAGTTTACGAGGAAGAAGGGAACCGTCCGTCCCACATGTAATGTGCTCCATGTTGGCACAGCTGAGTTCTGCTCCGTGTTGTTTGGGTTCTGATGCTCACTTAATTTGTGAACGATCACGTCTGTGATTTACAAAAGATCAGAAGCAGTAGAAAGATGGACTGGCCTTTGCGCCCATTTTGTATCACTTTTGTAACGAAACTGGAAATTTGTGTATTTTACATTTGTGAGTTTCCAGCTAGTCGCGATGCATTAAACAACATTTAACGACAAGTGGTCACCAAGACGCAATTTCTGCCCCCTAGAGGGAAACAGAAGCAACTGCAGTTTACAAAGTAAATATTAAGTCCACGAACAATAACTTTGCTTTAATCGTTGGATTTATGTTTGTTGTCAGGTGTACATATTGAGCGGTATTTTGTGTATTTTTATAAGCTTTTGTCTTTATTTTTTTTATGATTAAACACTTGTTTTACCAACACAAGGGTTAAAGCACTGCCACCAGTGCAAGCTCCTGTAAAATAAATGCTCTGCTTTTGTTGACGAGGTGATGAAAGTTTCTGGATCGTCCAGTTTGGAGGAGAAGTGAAGACTCTGTTGCTCACACATCAGACTTTATGGTATGTTTTTGTTGGATGCCACTCATCAGTCTCTCTCTCTCGCACACTTTGGCTCACATCCTGCAGCTTTTAAACTCCTGGAAAGCTGGTATTTATGTTGTTGGATTAAGAGAAGAATGCATTCAATCCTCCATGTCTCCACATGGAGAGATCATTGCAGGTAGAATATGTTTGTCTTGAGTCACAGCTCAGGTTTCTTATCAGCAAAATAAAAGTTTAAAGAATCTCCCTTAAGGTTAAGAATGAAGTTCATCACTGTCACAGATAAATCACTGGTTTTCTTAATAGTACATGAATGCAGCATTTGCTTACAGTGTCACTTTTTCTTTAAATCATTAAAAAAAATGAACGGAGCCGAAGTAAAATGGAAAAGAATGTCATAAAACTGTAAATGATGTGATTTATGGAGAAATCTGTTGCTTTGAGGAATCGGTTGTAACGTCCCATGTTGGAAATGATGCCTTCAAAATACAAATATGAGTTAAACATGATCAAAACTACAAGTTTTTCTGCTGGAGTTAAAACAACTGAATATTAATTGGGTTAAAATCTGAAATGTTTGATAGAAAACTTCTGAATGTGAATGTAAATAAAAATGTAAATATGTGAAATAAAAACCGCAGCGTGCACGTTTGTTTGGTAGCAGCTGTGCGAACGCTGGAGTTTGTTTTATTCTCTAAGGGATGGGGTCAGGAGTCTCCTGCGGCGCCTCCAGTCTGACCAGGAGGCGCCGCAGGAGACTCCTGTCTGACCAGGAGGTCGTATGAGTGGCTCTGCATTCGCTCGGTGAAAAACGAGATTCTCATGCAACGTCCCCGGAGTGTGGCGGTCCTGTGGAGCATGTAGAGGACCACATCCTGGTCCTGACAGGCGAACAGAAGGACTTGGTGGGACCTCTGATCCCTTGGGACAGGGGTCTGCAACCTGCGGCTCTTTCAAGCTGTGACCAAAACTAACACAACACTGGTTTTATTGGCTGTTATAACTATAAGGGCTAGTTTTAGCAGTTTTCCTGTAATTTATTTTGCAATTATGTGATACTGGAACATTACAAGGAATAAAACATACTTTCACTTTACGTTTCATTTCATCAAAGTACGATTCTACATTTAAAAAACCCACAGGCCTGAGTTCGTTTTAGTTTTTAGAAATTCGGCAAAAACTATTTATTTCCTTCTTTACAAGAATTGCATCTTTTATTTTGTCTTAAAATATAAAAACATCAATAAATGTTAAAAATCATTAGATATTTTCAGTTTTATCCTTAACTTTGCTGTATGTATTTTATATTCTTTATGTATTTTATATTTCAATGTATTCCTGTTGATCTTTGCACTGTGCTTGTTTGTTTTTACACAATCTTTCTGATACATTTCTTACTGTAAAGTGTCCTGAAAGGCACTTTTTAAATAAAATGATTATATTATTATTATTATTTTATAAAGTCACTCCTACTGGCCAGAAAAGTC